AGCTGCTCACCATGGTTTTAGTGCTGAGTGGTCACTATGGTGTTTGTGCTGAACTGGTCACTGTGATGTTAGTGCTGAGCTGGTCACTATGTTGTTAGTCCAGAGCTGGTCACCATGGACTAAGTGCTAAGCTGGTCACCATGTTGTTAGTGCTGAGCTGGTCAACATGGTGTTAATGCTGGCAAGTCACCATGGTGTTAGTGCTGAGCTGATCACCACGGTATTAATGCTGGCTGGTCACCATGGTGTTAGTGCTGATCTGGTGCTATGACAGCTAATGCAATGATGGGGAGTGGCTGGTTGTGGGTGATGTTGGATCGGGTGTGTCGGTGTCGGTAATAAGTGGGAGCGGCTTGGTGTGACTGAGGAGGGAAGGGCTGACTGGAGGTGAAAAGGGGAAGTGGCTGGATGTGTGTGATAGGGTGAGGGTCTGTGTGTGGTTGGTAAGGTGGATAGGCCGGGTGTGAGGGAGGATGGGTGGGGCTGGTGTGAGTGAGAGGAGAGGGAATGTGTATTGGTGAGGATGTTGATGTTCTGAGAATGCGTGAGGATGAGGAGCGTCTGGGTGCGGGTGAGGATGGGATGGGGATGAGTACGGATGATGATATTGAGAGAAAATAAGAATATACAACAGCAAATTACAGTGTAGCGCTCTTCACGTCAAGAGAAAACAGAAAAATCAAATTGTGTGTATATATGGCACCCTCAAAGTCGGACAGCGTCTCAAGAGCGCTTCATAGTAAATGATCCCAGGACCGAGCCAGGGAGAGGGGGGAAATGTGACCAAAGGCGCGGTCTGAAAGAAAGGTCTTCAGCAGAGATCGGATTGCAGGAAGAGATGGTGCGAGGCGAAGGGAGTGAGGAAGGGAGATCCACAGCCTAGTGGCTTAGTGGCTGAAGGATAGGCCGCCGATGGTGGAGCATAGGACTCGGAGGATACAGAGCAGGCGAGAGGCGGAGGAACGGAGGCAACGTACACTGATTAGAGGAGAGAGGAAGTCAGAGAGGTCAGGAGGTGCAGAGGAGTGGAGAGATTTGAAGATAAGGGTGATGATCTTGAAGTCGGTCTTCTCTGGGATAGGCAACCAGTGCAGTCCGGCCAGGACTGGTGTGAACCTGTAACGGAGTTTCGTGCGGGTGAGAATTCGGGCGATAGAGTTTTGAATAATGTGGATTTTACGAATGGCAGTGGATGGGAGGCCGGCGAGGACGGCATTTGAATAGACCAGACAAAAGGTGACAAAGGCATGGTCCAGGGTTTTACTGGCTTTCGGAGAGAGCTTTTGGCGGAGAAGTGCGATGCATCGGAGGTGCACGAAAGCGGTGCTGGTGAGGGACAGGATGTGGGGGAGGAAGGATAATTGAGGTCGAATCAGACGCCTACCTTGCGGCCGTGATCGTTTTAGGGGGGACGTAGGGAAGGAGGAGGAAGTGAGAAGCTTGATATTTTAGACAATGACGAGAGCCAAAGGATATGACGTCCATCCTGTCAACTTTCAGGTGAAGGAAATTCGTGCACATCCAGCTTCTGAAGTCTGACAGGCAGCTGAAAGCACTTCAGGGGACTGGGGGTCGCAAAGTGATGTGGAAAAATAGAGTTGGGTGCCGTCAGCATACATGTGGAAGTGTACCCCATGTCTGCGGATGACACCCCAAGAGGGGGCGTATAGATCAGAAGGAGGAAGGGGCCAAGGAGGAATCCTTGGGATTCCCCGCAGGTGACCATTTGAGAGCTGGAGGAAAAGCCATTTGTGCAGATGTAATTCTGGCAGTTTGTGAGGTAGTACTCGAACCAGGCGAGTGCGGTCCCACTGAGGTGGATGACGGAGGAAACACGTGGAGGTGCATGGCGTGACTCTCAGCGTAACAGCCCATTCACAGTTTGACTTCCCCAATAATGTACTGAATCCCCAGCCCGCACTGGGGTATCAGCACAATGCCACAACATAGGCCTTGAAAGCAACAGTTTTGAGACAATTGACACAGTGGAAGTTTGGGAACGCTGCAGACGGACAGCACAGCCAGGCCAGTGTGGGTTTTGATCGCACATAAGTGCATTCAACCTCAAACATAAGATTAACCCTCTCACTGCCTGTCTCTGCCACTCACACACGGACGCCCTCACACACACACATACAATGAGTCAGAAACAAACACATACATGTACTGAAAGACACGCATAAGATTAACCCTCTCCCTTACCCTCTACCGAGGCATACACACTGACGTACTCACACTCACATATAGAGTGAGACAGAAACACACAGCCATGATCACACTCATTGAGCCACGGCACTCACAGAAACAATTACACGAGGTTTGATAGATGCGTGCCATCCTTTTTTTATCCCAATTGTTTAAATGTGCGTCAGCAGCTCTCAGAGCTCGGGAGGAGCAAGTCCGTGCGTGGCCTTTAAAATGGAGACGAAGATTTTGAAATCGATCCTCTGGGGGAATGGGAAGCCAATGGATCCGGGTAAGGGTGGATGTGATAGGTTTACGGAGCCTGGGGCGGGAGAGGACACGAGGTGTAGAGTTCTAAGTAATACTGGGGACGCTGACAAACACGAGTCAGTTTAATCGTGCCTCGATGTGAGGAATGTGTGAATGAGGATCATAGCGGACTCAGGGGAATTTAAATGACGGAGTCGAGTAACGTTGCAGTGGTGGAGGATGTCAGGATCGGTCATGGGTCATGGATGTGAGCGCAAAGGCCTGGAGTCAAGCAGTGATGGAGACTTGAAGCTTAGTGTTTAGAGCATTCGCCTCACTTGCGAGAGAAACCAGGTTAGATTGCCGTTCTGGTCAGGGCGAAACATAAGGCAAGTTTCCTCACTCCACGCACCCACACACCTCTGTTTACCGAGCAATAAGCAAGAACCCGAATATTAGTTCATTGCAGGACCGTATTACGGGAATAACCTAAAGGAAAAGAATCGTGTGGTCACTCAATCCTTGAATGTGTATGAGATACTGCTGTGCACAATTGGCTGCCGTTTTACCCCCACGAAACGCACAGCTACTAAACTTTACAGTAGAGACGGGCATAAGTTTTGAGAGATGTTGAAGATTCGAGAAGGCACTGTATAAAAATGTAAGGGTTATTACTTTATGAAGAAAAAGGGTTTGACTATCCTCCTGAAAACTCTTCCCTCCAAACTTTAAGAGGGAACGGCCCCGTTTTAATTCTAGAATACGTACGAAAGACTAATGTTCGCAGCCAAGTCCCCAACACACCCATCTCGCAACCCGAGAGGGAGCGAGAGGGCGTGGGAGGGAGAATGTTGGTGAGAAATATCACAACACAACAGACAAGTCAAAAACAGTGACAAATGCCCCAATCAAATTAAACACATCGATAATTGCTGGGATCATAACCCATACGTATCCTTCTAATGGTTCCTTGAAAGGATTGATGCAAAATATAAGGATCCTCGAAATAACAGTGATAGAAGGAGCAGAAGAAATGATAAAAGTAGAGGATTCTTGTAGATAAGACAACCTTTACTGTAACACAAATCGTGTGGCTATTTCTACGACAACATTTTGTCTTTGAGGCTTTGGGTATCTGTGATCATGGGATTGTTTTGCAGAGAATCAGGTGTCAATTTGGACAGTTAACTCAGCGGGTTTACTTGATCACTTGTACCAGAAGCAAAGTGGTTGCTCTCGTTCTGTTTTTCCCTCTGCTTTTCTCTCAATTTTTCTCTCTTTTTCTGTCTTTCTTTCTTTCTGTTTTTCTTTCTTTGTTTCTTTCTTTGTTTCTTTGTTTCTTTGTTTCTTTGTTTCTTTGTTTCTTTGTTTCTTTCTTTCTTTCTTTCTTGCTGTCATTCTGTCATTCTTTCTTTCTTTCCTTCCTTCTTTCTTCCTGTCTTTCTTTCTTTCTTTCTTTCTGTCTTTCTTTCTTTCTTTCTGTCTTTCTTTCTGTCTTTCCTTCTTTCTTTCTTTCTTTCCTTCCTTCTTTCTCTGTCGTTCTCTCTTTCTTTGTCTCTTTCTCTCTGATCATCCCTTCCTTCTTTTTCAACTTTCATAGATCACATTTTTAAAAAATGCAGTGTGTCCACAATATTCGATATTGACTTGGTTTTAGGTGCAGGATAATCAGAAGTAGTACAATAAAAGAACAGCAAGATTTCATTTATAGGGCGCATTTCACGTCGTGAGGACGTACAGATAGGTCAGGAGAGGGAATAGTGTTGATAATATTGCTTTGTTTCAATCACCTCTTTGTTTTACATCATTGATGCCTCTTTAACTCATCATCCACTGTCGCCAAGCACTTTTTCTCCTTTATCTGACTTGTTCTGCTTCCCCGCTCTCTACTAAGATTAAAAGCCTATCCCTCCCAACATACCCCGCTTACGACCAAGATGCTGTATCAGAAGTGTTGACTCTCTTTCCGCACTATAGTCTTTTTTAAGTTTCCATTTGACCGACAGAAGGTTGACTGGCCTACATTTAATTGTTTATCCCTCCTCCCTTTTACTGAACATGGGTATAAAATTTGCAACCATCCATTTATCTCGCACCATTCCCACATCCAAGCAGGGTTGAAAGATATTGGCCAGAGACTACGCTAGTTCCACCCTTACAAAACTCAACCGTCTTATAATGCATCCCATCCGGACCCCAAATTTGATTGGTAACAATGTTTAAATAACCTCAGCTCAATCTGTGTTTTTTTCCACAAATTGCAGGGGAGTTAGCTCTTTGATTGTCCCGACTCCAGTTCGGGTTTTGCAGATATTTTCAATATTAGTGAACCCTCGTCTCTTGAGACGAATAAATCGTGTAAAATGTACACAGAAAATTACATGGGAAAGGACGAATTGCCAAGCAGTGTATTCCCCAATCATGTTGCTAGTTTTGTTTTTTTCAGTTGAGTATGTCTTTTCTGAAATCTTACGCAACTTCATCCCTTATCTTTGGAGACCTCTCATCTCTATAATAGTTGGGCTTCTGTCACCACGTCACTTCAGTGTCTCTGCACGAAGCGATGAATGGGGCAACCGGTGATTCTCGTGGTCAAAGACATTTTTTATCCTGTATTGGCAGCTTTCGTTGTGCCGGGTATGTGAGTGTTCGTGACTAACTTGTAAATCTGCCACTAACCCTTACAATTTGTTTCAGGATCCATCAAAAATATTTCGAGGCCAGCAGAACCATTTGGCGTTTTGTAGAGCAAAGTTGCAGCTACTGTTTTGTATCAGTGAGCAGACTTGGGGGAAAAAATTATGCAAAGACATCAGAATGTACGGGAATCCTCAGAGTGTACGATAATCAGGAAAGTGTATGAGGATCAGGAAATATATACTGTCTGAAATTGTTACTGTGTTACCGTAATTCAGATAACTTCCATTTGTTTCAGCTGAAATAGTACGAAAATATTCACTATGGTTTCATACACATTTACTGTGGACAACCATCGAATTCGTAGTTCACATCCATCGCAACAGGTAACAAAATACCATGTATTATTCTAAGGACCTTACCAATGAGAAGCAGCGCTAAATAAAGGCACTTGATTCCGTTGTTGAATGTTTCAAAGCTGCTCCATGAGGATGGTGGATTTCGAATTGTTTGAAGATCAGATCAAAATAGCCGAAGATTTTTTCAATCACTCGTCATCTTGTAGATTTGTGATCTTGGTCTTTTGGACGGTTGTATTTTAGGGCCATCCCTTGTACTCAAGAGATGTACTTCCCAGTCTTGTCGATAAAGTTGATGTTGTTATCACCATCGTTATAAATGTTCTTGCATTTTAAACAGTAACCGTCACTGAGCCCTTTCCCTTGGAGGGACGAGTTACCGGGATGTTACTGTAGCACCTTTTACATGGGAAAGCTGTCTCAAAGCTCTTCAGAGTATATACCATAAAGACGGGTAATTGAATTTCAAGGGCAAACATGCAGCCAACACCAGGGAGAGAGAAATTGCCTTCGCTTTTTTAATAGCACTAATGCATTCGTGAAATTTAACATCCACCATTGCAGCCATAGAGGGGACTTGGTTTGAATGATTCACCCAAAGAATAACAACTTTTGCAGCGAAGCAGTGGAGACCTGTAGTGCAATTTTTGGAGCACTCGCCTTGTAAGCAAGAGGACTTGGATTCGATTCCCGACAGGGCGAAACGTTAGGCAATTTTTTAAAATCCATCAGGCTCTGTTCAGCTACCAGTAAGTAGCAACCAGTTGCTAGTCGGTCAGCGGTTCCCTTTTTCGGGTTAATAATGATAATAATAATCCTTGCATTTGACATAGCCCTTTTCACGTCTTCTCGATGTCTCAAAACGATTCACATAATATACTGCAAAGTGAATTAAGTTTATATTTGTGGGAGAAAAGCGGCAAACAATTGCGCACAGCGTTGTCCCACAAACAGTCGTGGATTGAAGTAACCAATATTATCATTTGCTTTTTTTCTTGACACATCTGAATGTCAAATGTGGCTGCTCTGGTGAGACATATTTGGAGCATACCAGTTGATTGCAACACTTAACATTTAAATATTGCTTCTATTTTAATAAAGGTGCCAAAGAAAACAATGCTCATTTGATTCACTAAACTGTACCCCTTTTATAAATTAAATAAGACAGCAACGTATTTGTAAGTATGTAAATGTGCAAGAATGTTGATTATTTTCAAGAAATTGTTTTTTCAGAATTATCATCTGTGAAAATTTTGGACAGCTAAATTTCCTACAAATCGCTAACATATTAATTAGCAAATTTCACAATTTAAGTAGTTAATACAGATTAGATAAATGTATTTAAGGTGGAGTTCTGAGCGTCAAATAGCTATGAGCAACGTTTACCCGTTTTCCGTCTGCAAGTTACGGAAAAAAATCTTTCCCATGACCGGATGTACTTCAGTATCAGGCTGACATTACACAGACTAATCTTGTATACAATCTCCCAATACAGTGAAGGGCTGTGCCTTGAGCTTTTAAAGAATGTTCTTTTCAGGTTCCATTTTCAGGGTAAGATTCTTTCCAAAAAATATATTTCAATAATTATAATGATGTTGTCACTCAATCCAAGACTGTTTGTGGGACACTCCTGCGTGCAATTGGCTGCCGCATTTCACCCATAAGATATACAGCCGGTTCTGCAACTTTACACTCTGTGAAACGTTTTCGAAGACGTGATCAGGTGCAGTATCATGTGCAAGGAATATAGTTAATGTGCAGCACTGACTGTGTGCCCAGAGAATCGTGAATTGAATGTCACTGATGTGGAGCTTCAACACATAAGCTTCTGAAAAGCTGCAATTTATGATCAAATCAGCCAATAACAACAAATGACAATTATATTACGCCCCCATGCAGGATAGCGTCCCTGAGCGCTATGGCTTCACAAGAAACTATCTTAGAATATAAATTGCTGCTGGCGTTTCATTATATTCGGTGACTTTCCATTACCTCTTTACTTGCAGCGAACCTTCTGACGATTGTGGTTCTCTGGCGAGGAGCACACGGTCTCTCCCGGGGCATCACTCGCTACATGTTGGCCATGGCAATGGCTGGCCTGCTCGTTCTTCTCTTCAATGTGATCCTCCATCACATTTTAATGGATCACTTTCCCTTCACCTTTCTCGCCCGCACATCCTTTTGCCGTGTCCACACTTTCCTCAAGTCGCTCGGCCTGGACATCTCCGTCTGGTTCACTGTCTCCTTAACCTTCGATCGATTCATAGCCATTTGCCATCAGAAGGCGCGGTTGGTATACTGCACCGAGCAAACTGCGATCGCCGTTATACTGATTGTCAGCGCGATCTTCATTCTGAAGAATGTTCCATTCTTACTCCTGTTTGAGCCTCGATTCACCATCGGCAGTGTGTCCTGGGGATGCAGTGCTAAAGCGGCGTTCTTCACGCTTCCATTCTGGGAGGCGTTAACGTGGCTTTGTAGCCTCTCCACCCCACTCATGCCGTTTGTGCTTATTATATTCTTCAATGCACTGACTGCCCGATTCATTCTGGCAGCCAGCAGGCGGCGCCGGATGCTGCGACGCGGGGACACGACGGGTCTGGGCAACGAAGACCCTGAGATTAGGAGCAGACAGCGATCAATCGTCCTCCTTTTCACCATCTCGGGCAGCTTCGTGCTGCTGTGGACGACGGTGACTGTGTCGTTCCTGAGCACCCGAGTTGTGGTGACGCACTTCTCTCAAATCTCTCACACAGACCCAGGTTATATCGCCACTGAATGTGGTCGGCTTCTCATGTTGTTGTATTCTTCCGCCAATACATGCATCTATGCAGTGATTCAGAATAAGTTCAGGCAAGAAGTAAAGAAATTAGTAATTTATCCGTGGACTCAAATCATCAAATTACTTAAACATTAAATCCGCTTCCGGCACACGACTACAATTTTTGTCCCATCCCCTGACCTACTCGAAAAAAAAGCAATTTCTGTTTTTGGTATATCGACTTTCACATCGGGAGCGTTCACAGGGCTCACCCTTTATTCTCTAGAATATAAAAGAAATAATGGTGATCTTATAGAAACTTATGAGATTCGTAAACTTCTTCACAGTGTAAATGCGGTGAGAATCTTTCCTTTGGTTGGACAATCTCAAAATAGGGGTCATCGTCTGAAAATTAAGGGCCAGCCTTTTCGAAGTGTGTTGAGAAAACATTTCTTCAGTCAGAGCGTGGTGAATTTGTGGAATTCTCCACCCCAGAAGGTTGTGGGTTCTCAGTCCTTGAACATATTCAAGACTGAGCTTGATAGATTTCTAAAGGATAGTGGGATGAAGGTATATGGGGATAAGTCGGGTAAATGGAATTAGGATAGAAAATCTGCTATGATCTTATTAGATGGCGGCACAGACTCGAGGGCCCGAATGGCCTTCTCCTGTTCCTACGTCTTTTGATTTTATGGTAACTGTACTAATTATTCCTTGCTTTTGTGGCACTGTCAAATATCCATGCCATTGGAAGCACGGTGTGTCTGTTTCGCCATGGAAAGCGGGTGGCTGCATATCTATAAATCTGTATATACAGCAGATAGTCGTGTGTTTCTAGATATCTACATGTGTTGGTTGGTGTTATTGGGTGACTGCAAATTAGAATAAATGTTGGCCACGTGTGCTTCTATTCATTGTATTCTTTCCCTGCAAGATGCTAATGAGCTCTGCTGCTTTTGTATCTCTCTCAGCGGTTTCTGGGAGGCAATGTGTTAGAAAATAAAATTAGCCAAATCTGTAAGGAAATAACGCTAATTCCTCTAACCAGATATTCGTTCGTTATTCCCAATATCCCGATGGGTCAGAACAAAGGCAGGTGCAATCAACAGATCTTACAACAGAATAACACCACTTTAGATATCTCGAGTTCAAGAGTTCAACACTGTGTCTTTCCAGCACACAAGCTTGATTCTTCATGCTTTCAGTCTTCTTGCTTACAGCTTTCAATCTTCCATCTGATTCCTCAGTCTTAGTGTTTCCAGCTCTCAGTCTTCCATCTCCTGTACCCTTGTCTCCGCAGCCAGGGATGACCCCATCTCCCGTATCCTTGTCTCCGCGACCCGAGACGGCTCCATCTCCCGTATCCTTGTCTCCACGACCCGGGACGGCTCCATCTCCCGTATGCTTGTCTCCACGACCCGGGACGGCCCCATCTGCCTTATCCCTGTCTCCACGACCCGGGACGGCACCGTACACAAAGTTAACAGAACTTTTGTACCAATGTTCATCCAATCATGGTGCGGACATTAGATCACCTGGTCGAAATCACGCTGGGTGTACGTGCCTCAGCACACATACACATTGTCTTAAGACCCCTGTTATCTGATCTGATTGTCTAAGATAGAGGATTGATCAGTTTAGGACTGTATGTGGTGCTCATTATTTTGTGTTGTGGGATCATTAGTGCATTCCTTTTAAGTGACTGGTTATTTCTTATGGGATCCCGGGATGGTACCGAAACCCTCTAGTTTAAGCAACTTGCTCATTAATTGCTATTCTTGACGGTTGCCTTCTGTTGCTTGGCCCTGTCAGAATCCAGCGACTTATTGCCCAGTCGAGATCCTGTGTCGACTGGTACCTTGGACCGTTAGTTCTGTGGGCTTGTTGTCATTTACTGATAAGAGGCGATCCCCTGCCCCTGTCCGTTATCCATTCAAAAACAGAGAAAACCAGTTGTGTACTATCCCATGACTGTCATTCCAGTTGTCCACACACTTAACTTAAAAGTTAACCCATTCACAACATCTATTATGATTCTAGCCGTATACAAAACGTGTATATTCTAACAGTAGCGTTGCGTTTTTCAGCACTATTTTGCAAATATATATTTAATTCAACAACGATTGCAGGTGCGCCATCATATCCATTAGCTGAGCTCATAAATGATATCTAAAATGTCCCAATACTTAGCCGTACACTTAAAATATCCGCAGATACAAATGTGTAGGAAGCATGTTAAAGCATTGGAAACGGTGCAGAGGAGATGTAAAAGGATACTACAAGGCATGAGGGAACATGATTATGAGAAAATGCTAGACAGGCTTGGATTATTCTCATTGGATCAGAGAAGGTTACGGGGAGACATAATAGAGGTCTTCAAAATCATGAGGGGATTTGATAGGTAGACCAGGAATTTACTCCATGCGAAACAAGTTTAACTGAAGTTTAACTGCATTAACTTATCATGTTTCCCATAATATTTATTCAGTTGTCACTACACGTACATTTATCCTGGAAAGAAGAAACTGAGGAAGATTTGAATACAAATTGCGATATTAATCTTATACTTAATGTCGTCTGTATGATATAAGGGAAAAGCTAAATAAACACTTGCATGTCATTCCTTCCAAACCCACCAATAATAAGAAAAGAAACGTAACGCCCGAACAAGGACTTGAACCATGGACCCTCAGATAGCTGTCAAATTAGTAAATTTAAAAGTCTGATGCTCTACCCAATAAGCTATCCGGGCTCCATCGTCTCTGTATAACAGGTCTCTTATATGTGCAGCAGTCCTGGTATCTCCAAAATAGGACTGGTCTCTATATAACAGGACTGGTCTCTGTATAACAGGACTGGTCTCTGTAAAACAGGATTGTTCTCTGCATAACAGGATTGTCTCTGTATAACAGGATTGGTCTCTGTATAACAGGACTGGTCTCTGTATAACAGGATTGGTCTCTGTAAAACAGGATTGGTCTCTGTATAACAGGATTGGTCTCTGTATAACAGGATTGGTCTCTGTATAACAGGACTGGTCTCTGTATAACAGGATTGATCTCTGTATAACAGGATTGGTCTCTGTATAACAGGATTGGTCTCTGTATAACAGGCCGTATTTCTGTATAACCGGCTGTAATATTCAAAAGTGGTTAAATGTGCGGATAAAAGATTAAGTATGTGGATAGTGAAACGCGATAGATATTTTGCACAGGATGATCGTCTCCCGTTGTAGCTTCATTCGCTATGAAAGCTAATGATTTGTTTGCGACTGAGCACAACATTTTGATGTTGGTTAATGGTGGCTTCTCCACTTCTGAAATCTGCACAATGACTGCTTTTAAAAATATTACGAAATCTTGAGTGCAAATATTATCCTTGAGTTGAGCTGATAACATCAGTGTCATATCAGATGCAACGGGTCCGTATTTGCTGGATTATGTGAATTGCATCAACAAGAGATGAGGCTGGAAGCCACCCGGCGGTGGGGAGAGGAAAGGGGCTTGAAAGTTTTGTCAAACAGTCTGGGGAATGGGAAGCGTCGGGAAAGTGGAAGAGAAGCCGTTTCTTGGAAGCAGATTTCCTGAAGAACATTAGAGAGCTGTTCGTTTACGTTTGTGTCCCTGTGACAGTGTAACTTTGTTACTTCCGTTGTTAGTATTCAACTTCAGAAAAAATGGCTTCGATATGTGTGCACAGGAACCGCCCATACTTCTAAATCGCTTGAAAAAATTGTGTATGGAGTCCAGTAGGACCAAGCGCCCAAATCACGAAAATCGTTCACAAATATATGACAATATAAGCGTAAAATTGTGTGAAAATAGTCCGTAATCCCAGGGTTGCGATTTTGACAATGACAGGAAATAAAACTGAAGGAAACTGTCTCCGTGAACATCCAACACACACAAATGGCAAACACCACATTTTGTACCATTTTCTTCGATTCTTACCAACATATTTCTTTACGCTAAATTCCAGTGCATCTAGTTTAGTAAAAAAGAGGAATACAATGACTTGGAAAGTGCTTCATATCCCTCAATATTTCCAAATCTTCGGGGGAGTGTCGGGAATTGAACTCCTATCTCCCGCGTGACAGGTGGGGATAATTACCACTATACTAACGAGGATTCGCGTAAATTCAATTCACACAAGACACAAAATGCAAAGGTTCTTGTAGGAGTCAAGCGTCTACAAAGAACAAAGGCTGCAAATTCAACAAAAAAAAGTATCTGGAGTGAATCGTCTGTGCTTAAATTGATAAAAGGAATAAACATTAATATATAATCCCTAGGCACACCACATCTTAGTGTTTCTATATTCAAATACTCATATTTTCAGGCTGATTCCGATGTTATTGGCAATCACACGTGGAAAAGGTAGATATTCTGCGAAAGGAAAGTAATGACGCAAACGAATCGAAGATTTGGAAACATTGAGGGATATGAAGCATTTTCCAGTTGCTAATGGAACCAGGTTACTGTCAGGCTGGTGATGCGAAGTTATTCCCTCATTGCCTTTACCAAAGGACACAATGGCGAAGAGAAAGACAGAGAAAGACACACATTATAGCTTCGACTGCCTCTCCACGGTCTCACATATACAGGCACACAAACCAATCGATACATAGACCAAAGGATGTGACACACACCTCACTCACAGACACAAACTAATAGGATTAACTCTCTCCCTGCCTACTTCCAGTCAAACACCATAAGGTGAACCCAAAAACAAACGTACTTGGTGAGATAGACATATAAACACATTGCGAGAGAGAGAAAGAAATAAATGAAAATTCCCCGCTCATTGCTCTTTTTCCAACTCCCCGTTAGCTGTGGTTGTCGTTGCTGGAATCACCAGTTACCTGATCTACCTCCCCAACTTTGTCTCGCTCCTAACCGCTCTCTCGCTGTAGTTTGAAGATGATACTCTGCCTCTTTATTCTAAACGTAACCTTCACTTTGCTGTCCAGCTTAACTTCCCCCTCTCACTTTCAAGTCTGACACCAGATGTATCTGTCTACATTTTAACGCTTAGCAACGTTCTCTCTCCAGTCTAACATGGCCCTCTGCCTCTTTCGGTTCCAACACTCTCTCTCTCTCTTCCTCGCTTTACTTGAACTCTAACATTAGCTCACTCCATTGAAACTTTCCTCGTGATAAAGTTCCCTCAGTGTAGGCCTCTTAGGACTCAATGGATTAAGTGGGATAGTCCAGTGAGGAGAGGGTTTAATTGGAGTGTGAATGATCATGAAGGTTTCTGGTTTACGATGATGTGTTCGAGTTGTTCTTCTGGTTTCGGGATCAATTGTAATTTTTCGGAACAGCCCTGGAGAATGGGAACCGGGCGAGGACGTGTGTTATTGCGAAATTGCAGATAATTTACATTATATATTGTTGTCACCCGATCCTCCCCGAACACATATCAACTCCCCGGTCACACGACGTCTACCAGTCAGACCCAACATGTGTTTGTGAAAGCGGTTGACTTGGATATCAAGGCGCTGGTAATCATAGAAGGACAGTAATAATCAATGACACAATTTAGTTTAATTAGTAATGATCAATTATGTATTTCACATAGAACAACAAATTAATTTTCTATGGCGCCTTTCACATCGACATACCTACTAGTAATTCAATAATAGATAGTAATAGTAAATTATGCAGGCAATTGACCATTCTGCATAGCGCCGTGACGTTAGCCATACGGGTCTGTGATGTCTACCCGAGTGTCGCTAATGCTGCTCGAATGAAGGCAGTGACAACGACGCCATTTTGGGGCTGAAGAGCTCCGACAGCGCAGCAAACCAGTTCTACAAACCGTTGACCAACCAATCAGGTCAATTACACAGAAAATAATCAGATAAACAGGTTAGATACCCAGTAACTCACCAGCTGACCAGGTCACTAGCCCATTAACTAAAGAGAAGGCATGGTCAAACACCAAAAGAACAACAACAACAACAAGATTCCATTTATTGAGCGCCTTTCAGTTCGGGAGGACGTCCCAAGGCGCTGGACAGTTGGGTCGGGACCTGAGCAAGGGGGAAATGGTCAGGGTGAGGGGAGGGAGCGAGGAGGGGGTAGAGAGTCGAGAGGGGAGCTGAAGGTACGGTCAAAGAGAAAGGTCTTGAGACCGGCCTTGAAGGAGGAAAGGGAGGAAGCGGCGAAGTCACAGGGGGATAGAGTTCCAGAGCCTCGGGGCTGAGAGGCTGAAGGCCCGGCCACCGATGGTAGGGCGGTTGGGGCGGGGGATGTGGAGCAGACCGGAGCCAAAGGAACGGAGGTTACGGGCAGGTAAGTAGGGGGAGAGTAAGTCGGAGATGTAGGAGGGAGCGAGGCCGTTAATGGCCTTGTAGGTGACGATGAGGGATTAGTTAAACATATGAAGAGGTCACTTTCCAAGTATATAACCAGATGCCATGGTCACCTTTGACATAGTGATAGAGAGAAAATGAGAGATGGAGTCATATAGAATCGGGGGGTACCACCACTGTTGGTATGCAAACAAGATTCGCACACACACGCGCACACACTCACACAGACCGACCTACAAATTCACACATTGCCACACACATATTAAAATATACATAAACACAGCCACACACACACATTGACACACAGACATAGACTGACTAACACACGCAAAGACAAACACAATGACATACAAATGCATATAGACATTTAAACAAACTGGCCTACAAACAGTCACACACAACACACATTGACACATACAACACATACACTAACACAGAAGTGCAGGTACACACACATCAAGCCAAATACACATAGACTGATCTGCAGAAACTGACACATTAGAACCCGCAAAATAGATATAAATACCCGCACACTCACACGCAGTGAAAGAAAAATACAAGTATAAAGATGTGCACAATTACGCTACACACATGAAAAGAGATACAGATACTCGCGGACATATCGTATTAAGTCAATCACAACATCTCACCAAAACACCCTTATACGAGAGGGTGGACGGACAGTCTAGAGGGAGATATGCCCTTCCTCTATCCGTGACCGGTGATTTGTGATGGTAGGTTGGGAGTTAGCTTTCTTCTTTCTGTGACCCTAATCTTGGATGGTGGACAGTCGTTGTAACATTGTCTAGGTTTCTGTTCAACCAACGGGTTATACGAGTCGCAAACATTTTTTTTCTCGTGAAATAATCTAACAATTATAGATAATGGAAAAGTCACCACTTTGCTAAGCTCCTCCCTGAATTTCGTCTGTGTAACCGCATAAATACATGTGTTGGTGCAGGAACTCAAAAGCTGCAGCATGTAACCAGTGAGCCAGATAACATACAATGGGTCACTAAAGCCCGGTGCTGTTTCAGAATATGTTTTTGTAATTCTCCAATATAAGAAATTTAGAACATATGTCATCCATAATAACATAAAACTGGCGGAAACAGCAAAGAGTAAAACGATTGATTTTTTTCGGTTCTTTATCTCTGGATCACTGCCATTCGCACCGTTATTCTTGTCCCCATTACCGTGTCCCCGCAATCGATTGCGGGCTCGACTGGCCACAAGTATGTGCCTGACCGTCAGGGCGTTGAGCAGCAAAATCATAATGAATGGGAAAATTGGGGTTATAACATAATTAAGTGGGTCAAACACCGCCCATCTAAGATAATTGAAATAGCTTGCTTTAGGTTCGCAGCCACAGGGAATATTATTGATTACGGACTGTGGTTTAACTAGAAAACCCCACGGAATATTTATCACAAGGCAAAGCACACTCAATACCGCTATCACTGCACCAGAAGTTTTTTCTGAACAATATTTTGTTTCAGGTTTCGGCAACAAATGGCCACATATCGGTCAAAAGTGAAAGCCACAGTTATCCAGACAGATTGATGTTGTTTAAACAGCCAGTACCATTAGAATTCCACACACAGGTGTGATGGACAGGAATGAATTTGGAAAACGGAGAAGAATTACGCGATAGAAAATCACTGAAGTGATAATCACCAACAGATCTGCTGTGGACATGGCCACCAGATAGCGAGAGATACATTTGGAAAGTCCGCACCGCCCGCGAGACAGGATTATAATCGACACCAGGTTAGCTACAGAAAGAGGGAAAGAGAAATGCCCATCACAGTAATAGAGCAATAACATAACTTGCATTTATATAGCGCCATTCATTCGGCGTAACAAAAAAGAGATTTACTGACAGACATTCAGAGGGAGAGAGTCAAAAACATGCGCGGACAGAAATAAACCCACTCAGAAAGCATGAGAGAGTCACAGACGGGAAGAAGGAGATATAGACACGGATAGTGAAAGAGAGAGAGAGAGGGAGAGAGAGAGATTCAGAGAGACAGAGAGACAAACACAAGCGCACACACCAATAAACACACAAACAGAGAGAGATACACACACAGGTAGAGAAACTGAGTCACAGAAACACAAACAGAGTGAGAGAGAGGCACACGCGGGCAGCACGATAGTAATAAACAGAAAACGTAACACAGATACAGAGCAAGATAGAAACAGAGAGATAGAGAAACACAGAGACAGAGTGAGACACACAGACACAAACGGACTGGCAGAGTAATAAAGAAATAAACAGAGCCGGCTTCAGATAGATTGAGAGCTATCCATTGACAGAGCGAGATACAAAGAGAAACACACACAGACAGTCAGAGAGATGGAGAGTTCCTCAGAGAGAGAGACATACATAGGCAGAGAAAGAGACATATATTTATGCAGTGTCGGATACAAAAGAACATGCAGGCAAAGAACTATTATTTTTCTGAAAGACAACTATAAAACTATTGCATATGTGTTTGTCATCCAGCCCTCATTAGTAATAATATTGTTAATAACAATCAATAAAAATGCTTGCATTCGATTAAGCGCCTTAAGTGGTTGTTGTGAGGTCTCAAAGCGGTCGGTTCACATAATAATCTGAAGCATGAATTTACTGTATATTTTGTGGGCGAAATCCGGAAACCAAATGCCCACAGATTTGCAATTTACGAGTTTGGTTAAAATGCAGGAAAAAGCCAGAAGCCAAAAGCTTGGACACTCATGGTTCGGCACCTCAGCTCAATGATTTCTTGGGGGCTTTAGCCCGCAAATTTCTGACTAGCAAACAAGAACACTAACAAATAAGTCAAACCTACTGACAATCGTTGGCTAAACTCATTGTTTAAAACTAAAAGAAGAGATTACATTCTCCAATTATTTTCTCTTTTTCTTGATACAGCACTTTTCCTGTCTTCTTTAAGACTTCACATGATATATCCATTTACCCAGTAGCAAGCAGGAATCCGGTTGTTAGTCAATTGGTAGATCGCATTTCCGGAGATGTTAATCATTAAAAAAAAGTTGGCAGCTCAATCCACGGCTGTTTGTGGGATACTGCAGCGCGCCTTTGCCTACTGCGTTTTGCCTGCAACTGTGCAGACAAGACACGTTACAGTATGTTCTCTGAAGTGCTTCGCGATTTGTGGAAAAGGTAGACAGCGCTGCATCAAATGTGTGGATGATTATTATGACTGTAAAGCGAATAGACTATCTATATGTGGACGGAAGGCTGCAGCCAGTTTCACACAACAATATCCCACAGAAGCTCTTCGAATGAGTGCCATAACTTTTCTAAGGATTAATATCTCCAGAACAGCGATCCATCAAGCGACTGACAATTGCGTTCCTACATTTTGCTTGGTAAACAGATGCATGCGGAGACAGTAATCTTGCCCAACATTTCGAAGTGCCAGGAATGGAACCCAGGCCTCTCGCTTTCGGGCATAGCGTTCTCACCACTGAGCTGCAGGAATCCAACAGCAACAAAAACAACAACATGATTGCATTTATAGAGCGCCTTTCACGTCGGGAGGACGTCCCACGGCGATGGACGTTTGGGTCAGGACCCGAGCAGGGAGGGGAAATTGTCAAGTTGAAGGGAGGGAAGGGAGGCATGTTGAACAATAACATATATATAAATAGCACTATACAGACGGAATAACTTTTCATGAGGCGCCACCTGTCGGCGTCCAAATATCTCAAAGCATTTGACGAGAGTTTTTTGAAAAGACGATTTGTTGTTAAATGCGGCAGCCGAACGGCAGCCAAAAACTAGGAAGTGAATTATCAATTACATCTCGATTTTTCTTCGAGAGGTAATTGCCCAGCACACTCAAACAAATACCCTTTTCATTTTAAATTATGCCACATGATCTTTAATGTCTAATGAATCAATTAGGACTTTACTTATTACTTTCTTATTGAAATCAGAGCTCCTCTAACAAAGGTCACTGGTTCTGGAATCTGGAAAACATATCTTTCTGATTCAGTGGGAAGGTGGTACCAACTGAGTCAGGCTGCAAACTTTACGTTACTGAAAACTAATCTAACTAATGAATTCGTTAAACAACTTGCCAGGAACTCCAAAAGCAGCGAGAATCGGATAGTAAATATTTTGTATCCTTTGTAATAGCGAAATTGTCATCCTCGCAGCGAACTGGTTTTACTTCCTCCAGGTACAGGCAGTAACTTCCACTGACAAGATGGTATTCAAGAGCAAAATGCACAGTTTGATTTTTACCAACGTGGTCGCTTAATTTAGTCGATTTACTGCATGACCATGAATGAGTTTCAGCCATGTGTAAAACATTACTCTCCCTGAGCGGTGCAACTTACGTCGATTATTTATTTTTGGCAGCTTGTTATGGCATCCATGCGGAAATCTATCGTCATAGTTTCGACATCGAGAAGCCAACCTGCGTTAAGGATAGTATGTAAATGCGGATTGTTATTATTGAAATATCCAAAACAGAAAGAGTAATCCACATGTATAGCCATTTACAAATGTAAACCACCCAGTGTCTGAAATTGAAGGCATAATCTCTCGCTGGAGGCTCGCAGCCTCCTTAACTAATTCTGGAGAGTATTTAGGTACAGGATGGCAAGCAACAATGCTTTGGGAGCCCAGTGAGGGCACTGAAGTATTGTTGGAGATTAACGAGCTATGACGACATGTTTGAGAATAATAACCCCATATAATAATAATAATTGCCTTCGATAAAGCCCTTAATCACGTCTTCGAGACGTCTCGAAGCGGTTCGCAAATATACTGTCAAGTTAACTGACTTTATATTTTGAGTGCAAAATAATTCCATACATTTTGGTATCAACTGCGTTTTCTGCAAAACATTATGGTGTCAGTTTGGATTAGTTGCAGCATTCTTGCTACTTGAATCAGAATTTTGTGCATTCAAGACCCAATTTGGGACACTCCTGACCATATACGACCAGGGCTCCCTCTGCCGTATCGTCATCGTCGACCTCTCCGCCGCCTTTGACACTGTGGAAAGCTCAATCCTCCGCCACAGCCTATCCTCCCAACTCAACTTTCAAAGATCTGTCCTTGACTGATTCAGGTCCTAACTCTCGCAGCGCCTCCACTCCGTCTCTGCAAACAGCTTCTCCTCCAGCTGCCTCACCGTATCGTGCGGTGTTCCTGAAGAGTCAGTCCCCTCCTTTTCAGCCTCTACATGTTCCTCCTTGGCGACGTCATGCGCAGACATGAGGTAAATTTCCACATGCAGGTGACACACACTCTGTGCTTCCACCGTGAACTCTAGGACTACTGGCGTCCTGACAAACTGCTTGTCCAACAGCATTTATTGGATGAGGTACAACTTTCTCCACCTCAACGTTAGCAACACCGAGGCTCTCCTGTTTGGCTCGCACTTCAGGCGCTGCTAGCAACAGCCTCCAGGGCTGCACATTCAACCCCACTAAGCCAGTCAGGAACCTGGATTTCTTGTTTGACTCAGAACTGTCCTACCATCCCCACATCCGCGTCATGACAGGCATTGCCTACCACCAGCTCCGCAATATTTCCAGACTCCGCCACTGCCTCACCCCTCAGGCTGCCGAAACCCTCATCCGTGCAGTCGTTACCTCAAGGCTTGAATATGGGAACTCGCTTTTCATCGGACTTCCCATGTCTTCGCCTCACAAGCTGCAGATCATCCATAACTCTGCGGTCGTGTACTCTCACGCACCAGGCTACGTGACTCCATCACTCCCACCGTCACTCCATTGGATTCCCGTCCCCCAGAGGGTCGAGTTCAGGATTCTAGTCCTCACCTTCAAGGCTATCCATGGACTTGCCCCTCCTAACTCTATAACCTTCTGACTCCCTACCAACTCGCCCGCTCACTCCATTCATCTGCCTGACGCCTGCACCTCGTCTCCCGCCCGATCCGCCCTACCATCAGTGGCCGGGCTTTCAGCCTCTCTGGCTCCTCGCTCTGGGATTCCATCCCAAAATCCCTTCGCCTCGCTTCCTCCTTTGCATCGATTCCCTTCTCTTCGACCATGCCTTTGTTCTCCCTCCTACCTCTCTGGCTTTCCTCACCCCTCCACTGCACCGCCCCCATCCTGCGACCACGACACCTGATTGTTCAGCGCTTTGGGACGTCCTCCCGACGCTCTATATATGTCATCTTTTACTTCTTGTTGTTGATGGCTAGAAAACGATTTCAGCTTGGATCAGCCTTTCTGTCCTTTCAATTCATGATATGGCAATATTTCAATAAAGAGTTCGATCAACAGCTGATGCGTTTCTGTCTTCAAAATCAGGCAAAATCAGTATTTAACAACATCATGTGGAGTCCTGTAGCCCTGTGGTTAGAGCACTCGCTTTGCAAGTGAGAGACCTGAGTTCAATTCCAGGCAGAGGGCGAAACCTCGGGCAAGTTTCCTTACTCCACACAGAGCCTAATAATAATCCCTCCAAAAACCCCAAAACAATAAGAAATTGGTCATTTTCAATCGACTACTGTTTGTGGGACATTGCTGTGCGCAATTGACTGCCGCGTTCGCCCACAAATATACAGTCAATTCACTTTATACTGTGTTCTGTGAAGCGCTTTGGGACGTCTCCCCGACGTGAAAATCGCTATTACACATGCAAGCATTGTTATTATTATTATCACATGAAATAATCACAATGTTCAATTGATCTCCAGTGCCTTTTGTTATTTGTATCTCTAATATGTAGTTCGATGTAACAAAAGATCTGCTGAATTCAAACTACTTGAGCACAATGATATTGGCTTTGTGCTTCTACTCAAACCATTGGCTCTCACCTGGATTCCCAGTGTGCAGAGCACAGCGGCACCCATTTTCGGCTCAAAGTTTACAGCTTGACATGGTTCAGACAATAAATCGCTTTGTGGTTTCAAAGGCAAATAAGCCTTGGCTTATATCAGGCATGAATTAAGGAGGCAATAGCCTTTGACTCCCCCTAAATCCGACTCTGTTGGGCACTACACTGCGTGAGGGACGCAATGACCAGCTCAGCAAGAACACCATGGCAACCAGCTCAACGCTATCGTTATGGCGACCAGGTGTGACTGAACGCAGTGTAGGTGTACTGGGGGGCTATAAAGAGCCTTTATTTATTGTTGTCTCTTTATTTATGATCAGGATGGACTCTATTCGTTCCCAAACTGATAGCTATTTTTAGGTTGTTTAAACAATGAGATCCGACACATTTAAGCGTTATTTAGTTTGTGAAGTATGAACTGACACACATTTCCATGCAAATAGTAAAATTTAATAAAAGGTTTGAAATCTTACATATCATCAAAATTATACATTTCATCAAATCAAACGAATGCTGACGACAGGTTAGTTGTCAAATTAAAGTTGATCACAGATTAGTAAAGATCACTGTAGTGGGTTAATCGGATCAATATATTGACTTTGATTTACCAATCGCTTGGATACGTTCCCATCAGCTGATTATGATTAAAAAACGCAGACTATTACATCAACTTCTAACACATCCGGAGTCCTGCAACACCGGGTCACTCGCTTCGACAAGCGAGAGACGTGGATTCGCTTGCCCAGCAGAGGAAACTTTGGGCAAGTTTGATTCCTGCACAAGGCTGATAGTAATCCTTCAAAAATATAATATGAAATGGATCACTGTTTACATTACTCTGCTGTGCACAATTTGGCCCACTTATAATCAATCAATTCAATTCGCAAGCGTGTCTTGTTGTGCAGAAGACGAGAAGAGAGCAAAATCATTTATTATATTCTATAAAACACAGCTGCCGCTGTGACGAAGGAAGTTTTACTTCTGATAAAGACAAAGATGCGGCTATTCTCTCTCTCCCACTCTCTTATGTTGGTATTCACCACAGGGAATGACGAGGAGACTTAGAGCGGAGAGAGTGCAGGTGATGGTTACTGATCACTTCGCTACGCTCTGACCGTGGCGTTGACTGGTCCATCATCCGCACCGGCTGAGGCGTCTAAAGTTCCTTTGGCGTCGGTGATATCAACGTCCTGCAAACAAGCCAAAAATGAGCACATGGGTGGACGATCATGGGGAAACATATGAACAAACTCTGGGAGACCCTAAACAAAAGAGGCAGTGTGAGCGCGCGCGTGTGTGTGTGTATGTTTGTGTGTATGTGAGTGATATTGAATGTGTGTGGCTGCAGTCGGTGTTGCAGTCACTCTGTCCCCACCCTTAAAAACTATCACTCTGTTACTTTGTCTCGCTCCCTCCCTTGCCTGCAAAGCCATTCTGAAAATCCTCCCCTTCGACCGTGCCTTCGGCCACATTCCTATCCTTTCCGATCCTGCCATTCACCCTCTTGGACCCAACCGCCAACTTTGGTCCAAATCGTTGAATGTCAAATTGCCTTGGGAAGTCCTGCCGATGTGATAGGGTACGTAAATACACTCGCACAAACACGCACCCACAGAGCATGCACAGATACAAGCAGAGACACACAAATGGAACACAAAGACAAACACAGGCAAACACATACACACAGTCATAATCACACACACTCAAACACACACACAGCGCTGACTTAGACCTAGGCAGACGTAGAGCTGAACAGGGCTGACAAAGGGCTGAGCTTGTCTGAGCAGTGAAGAGCTGGGCTGAAACAGGCTGAGCTGAGCTGGCACAGAGCCTGTGTTGGGCTGACACAGGGACTGAGTTTGGCTGAAGGCCAATAAAGGGGTCAATGCTCACCGCTGGTGGTACCGAACATTCAACCATTCTCAACGTCACATCTGAAACAAAAACAAACGTGATTTAACACCGGCACGTTTCAATAACATTCATTGTCATGTACTCATATTACTAAGGATATCAAAAATTAGAACGGTCAATTATCAACGATAATAACAATAAAGTGGAGTCCTGTAGCTCAGTGGTTTCAGCAATCGCTTTGCAAGTGAGAGACCTGAGTTCAATTCCAGGCAGAGGGCGAAACCTTGGGCAAGTTTCCTTACTCCACACAGAGCCTAATAATAAACCCTCCCAAACCAAAACCCAAAAAACAAAAATAGACTCGTCATTTTCAATCTACGACTGTTTGTGGGACATTGCTGTGCGAAATTGGCTGCCGCGTTCGCCCACAAATATACACTCTATTCACTTCACAGTATATTCTGTGAAGCGCTTTGGGACGTCCTCCCAACGTGAAAAGCGCTATACCAAATGCAAGGATAATTATTATTATTATAATAATAATAACTATTACACAGACTACTATATTAATAATCTTTGCATTTGAAAGAAACAGTTTGATGTCATCAAGTTATCCCAAATCGCTTAACAAGATTGACTGTAGTGGATTGAAATTAGTTTATGATTGAAAAACAAGAGCTAATTCCGTAAGGCAGTGCCCCACAAACGGTGAATAACCTATTTTATTTGCGGGATTGTCGGCAACGATACAGGGAAAGAGAAATTTGGTTTTGAATAATGCTGTGAGCTTTTCAATATCAACCTGAGAAGGCAGACTGGACACTGTTTTATCATCAAAACTTTAGCACACAACCCTTCAAACAGTTGTACTTCAGATAAATAATTGAGAGCATATGCACAGAAAAATACGCATTTAGATAAGCAGACAGGTACGCAGACACACACACAAACACACACAGACAGACACACGCACACCGATACGTGGAAAGACACAAAGACATACACAGACAAAGAGACAGGCACAAAGACATACACACATTTGGACAGACGACCAATGAAACAAACAGTCAAATAAACAGACAAACAGAGACAGAGCAGTAAATAGACAGACACACACGCACAAACACAAACGGCGCAGAGACACACAGACAGTTGCATACAGACAGCGCAAGAAAGACGGAGAGTGACAGAGCCAGAGAGAGTGGCTGGGAGACCATTGCCCTCTTGTTAAGAGGAGGCTCATGTGCAAGCGATATTTGTTTGTGGGGCTTGGACACTCGGCTTTGCAAGCCTGTTTCTGAACTTACCCCCTGGGCTCAAACCCAGGAAATCTATCACTCACATATATTGCTGCTAGTTTGCGGGCCGCCTCCCGTGGGTACGTTCCTGAGTGAAAAAAAACAGAGAGTTGAGAGTGATGAATTCCTTTCTGCTTTACGCAGAAGGATTAGAGAGCTCAGACCTGCGCTTGTCATTGGGCTTAGCACCAACTAATTTCTGTTGTCTGCGGGAAACCGTGCGGAAATGGCATTGACAGAACTGCTGTTGAAGGACCATAAAAGACACTAGGGGCCGAATGGCCGCCTTTTGTTTGCCACTGTGTCTGCTTCTTGATTTCTGAAAACAGCAGGAAGTTTGCCAGACGTTGATTTACACGCCGCTTCAAAGGCAGAGTCCTGGCCTGGTATGGAGATAGCGTGTTTGTGTGTGTGTGTGTGTGAGGAGGGGTGGTGGGTAGGCGCCTGGTGGTGGAGGGGAGCTGCTGGTGATGTGGTGCGGTTGGGAAGGCTGGTTGTGGGGGTTGGGGTGTGTTTTAGAGAGGAAATGTGTGGGAGACCGGGGGTAAGAAAGTGACCGGTTGCAATTATTTACCTGGAGGATTTTGAATTAAGATTGATGGGGTTGGGGGAAGGCAGCCAGGTGTCTGATCATTGTGGAAAGCCATCATTGTGCTGAAGATTTTCACTCACGCCGCCTGTGTTTGCAGTTAATATGCTGAATTTCTGCCAACCTGACCACCACTGGGATTATGCTCAGGCTGTTGAGAGTCACGGCTTGTATCGGAGTAACTAGCCACTAATTAGGGTCACTAAACGGGGCAACGAGCAAACAATTAAACCTACATAGCTTGCTATTGATGGCAATGCCCAGCAAGCTTCCCACTACCTGTCCAGTTACGAGCACCCTAGCCCTGCCGCTGCGTGGGGGAGCAAACACTGTCGCATACACAATGGGGACAGAGCAGAGAGAGGGATTGGTGTAAAGAGCTCGAATGTGGGAGCCAACACCAGCAAATACACGATGTGGAGAAAGCAGGGAATGGGACCAGAGCAAAGAGCGCCAATGTGGAGCTAGCAGCAGCACAAATATATTGGGGAGAGAATAGCGGAGACAGATTACAGTTAGAGAGCAAGCCCAAGCAGAAACACAGTGGATAGAGACTGGGGAATGGGGTTACAGAAGAGAGTTCCAGTGGGTATCGGGCATCAGCAAATACAGACTGTGACGAGAACAGGGAATGTGATTATAGTAGAAATGTTCTCACCATTTCTCTATTGAACTGTTGTGTTTACCTGCAAATGCAAAATTTCTTACATGTAAAAAATTCGTCAGCAGTGGTTTCACATTGTGTTTATGTTGATAATAGGCATTATATCCTGTGTCAAAAGGCATTCACAGACACCCGTTATCAAGTGTAAATTCTTGCCCGCAACTTAGACATTGCTGGCTATTCCTTTTTCCCCAAAAACTATACACTATATTCCCTGACATAAATAGACACTTACCTCTCTTATACACACATAAACCAAGTGTAAACACAGTGATCACTGTAGCAGTGACGATCCCCACAGCAAGTCCTACAGTGTGCATCCAGGTCCAGTATCCTAGAAAGGAAAAGGGCAAAGCGTTATTTGTACTTTTTAATAGCGAATATCGGAACATAACACATCATTTTAAAGAGCTCAATCAGGTTTTCATCACCTCTTGATGTAAAACTACTGTAGAAAGTAAAGTTTTCTCTCAAATATCCCTGTTCGAATGAAAATAGCCCAATTTCCCTCCAGTCTGTCCAAGTGAGGAAAGCTTCTGGACACAGGCCCTGAGGAGAGTGAGATAAGCAGCGGATCTTCAGCGGCTGAGCTGGTTATCCGATAAGCTCTCGAACATCATAATCAAGCCCACCTTTGACGTCGGTCTCTAGCCCTTCCCTGAGCAAGCCGGGCCAGCACTACTCCATGCCAAACTAGCTCATAGGCAGAAGGTTGATGAGAAGATCTGTCACTATGAAGTGTTATTTCTCCCCTCGGCCATTATAGTTCATTGTGTGAGATTTTGCTCAGCTCTTACCCCGCACAGAGATTCCCATTCGCTCGCTCTCTGGTGATGTGAATTGTCGTCCGTCTATGCGTGCAATATATTTACAAATGTAGTTTCCTGTAATGATCTCCGGAGTGGCGAATATGGCCTTGTTGTTATTCTTTGGAGCTGGTTGTGATGTGATAAACTCGCCGTCTCTGTATAAAGAGAAATTTGTGCCAGGATAATTCCCAGAACACGAGATCTCAGGTCTTTCCCCTCTCACAATTACCCGGGAATCTGGATTCAGAGAAATTGTGGGTTTCTGAAGCGGATCTGGAAATAAAGCACAGTAAAGATAATCTCGCTCTGGAGCTGCACACGGTTTTGGTGAGAATAACATTTTTCATTTGCATTGTTCCCTGCCTGGAGGAGGCGTCCGTATGATTAGGAGAGGGAGATAATTTGAGGGACAGTTTTAGAACAGAACCCAGTAATTATTTATTCGCAGAGACGAATGGGGAGAGAAGGCTGTGTGCGGGGTGGCCAGGGAGGGCAGTGAGGCCAGGGACTCGTTTAACATACAGTTCCAGGCTGGGATAGGAGTCCGTGGATTCAGCCTGGTCCTCTCGTGTTGTCTTCAGTTGTGTTTCAAACACATTTAAGTGGAATCCAGACATACACATGACGTCGAGTAACTGCAGTTGAACGGGTTATATGCAGATGCGTTTGGCACCAGATTATCAGAATTGAGGCCACCGCGATTTGTCTCTTGTCTTGTTCCTAAGAGAGGTGGCTACTCAGTATTTCAGGGCATTCATGGTGATAGAGCAGACCAGCCTGGCTCATCGGCAGGAAATGGAAGGGCAAACCAAACACTGGTGGCAGTTTATGATTACAATCAATTCTGTGAAAAGCAGAAGATAAAGTTCCAACAGGTAATGTGCTAAAGCTAAAGCTTGCCAGCCATCCACAGCAAAAGCAGCTATGTGCACACTCTGGGGTTTGGTTTTCACTGACCCGCAGGTACCAGCCTCTGGGAATGATGAGCAGAAAGTGTGCCATTCACCGAGATATAGAAGTGGGTTGTGTTGGTTGGAGTAGGGAGGGAGAGAGGCGAACGAGGAAGGGGAAAATGGTAGAGAGGGAGCGTGGATGGGAAGAGAGAGGAGTGAGGGGGAGAGGCTTGAAGGGGAGAGTGAGCGGGGGAAGGAAGGGTAGCTAGGGGTGGAGAAGCGGGGAGGAGAGATTGGGTGAAGAGAAGGATGTAGACCCCGGAGAATGATGGGGCGAGCGATTATAGAGGGGGTCAAAATGGGATGAAAATTGTGCAAGATGGGGGAGAGAGTGGGAAGAAAATGCCGGGGAACGATAGAGAGGGAGAGTCGCGGGTGAGAGGGAGGAGAGGCGGAGACAGGATAGACTGAGGAGGGTAGAGGGCCAAAGCTCTGTAGAGAATGGCATGAGCCTCGTGTCACGGAGCGGGCGGAAGAGTAGGAAGGATAGGATGGGAGAAGTGTACTGTGATCGCTGTGATTGGACACAAGGGGGCAGTGAGTGTTTGGTGAGAGTCTCCAGACATTCGCACTTACCCCACACATTGATTCCCATTCGTTCGCTCTCTGGGAATGTGAGCTCTCGCCCGTCCATATTTTTAACACATTTACACCAGTAATTGCCTGCCCTGATCTCCGATGGAATGAAAGTTACAGCGTTGCTGTTGTTTGCAGCTCTTTGTGATGTGATAAACTCTCCGTCTCTGAAAAAAGAGCATTTGCTGCCAGGATAGTTCCCAGAACACGAGATCTCAGCGCTTTCCCCTCTCACAAACGCCCGGGAATCTGGATTCAGGGAAATGTTGGTTTTCTGGAGCGAATCTGCAGTAAAAACACCGTAGAAATAATGTTGCAAACACTCCCTCTAATGTAAGCTGTGACAGTAAACATCCGTACCGACAATGAGTGCAGCCTCAGCCTTTGAGAATGTTTCTGTCTGAGGACAAATACGAGGCAGAGTCGTGGATTGATGTTAACACGGTTTATTGTACGCTGGGTTTCTGCTGCAGTTACACACTTTTCTGTGAGCTCGAGGTCAGTGTGAGCTGGGAGTTAGTGTGCGCTGGTTATCGGTGTGAGGTCCAGGTCAGTGTGATCTCGGTGTCAGGGAGGGTTTTGGGGCCAGGGTGGAGCTCGGGGCCAGGGTGGGGCTCGGGGCCAAGGTGGGGCTCGGGGCCAGGGTGGGGCTCGGGGCCAGGGTGGGGCTCGTGGTGCCTGATCGCTTGCTGCCTCCTTTTCAGGCAGAGGTTACACATCTCGGGCCAATATTCAAAACCAGAAGGGAATTTCTCGTGGTGACTTTGCCGATAATTCTCAAATAAAATTGGTCATTGACTTAACAGTTGCGTTAAGTCACTACGGAAAGTTTGCAGTGCTCAAATAATTATTGCGATTATTGGCCGTGGTTTTAAATACCTGGTGTTGGTGAGGTTCATTTGCAGAACGTTGGAATGTCCTCCCGACATGAGCGGCGCTGGTCACTAACTGTTGTTGGTTTAAGGACCTGAGTCCTGTAATTTTTCTATCTATCATTAGTCACAAGTCAATGACACCAGATAATTTGCACCCACTCAGCAGCTCGTCCTGTGCTCAGCCCCTGACCCTCTCCCCAGCACAACCGCAACACACACGCTACCTGGGCTCCCCTACCCCCATGACAGCCGCACACTCTGCTCAGCCACCATCTATTCTCAAACCTCACTATGCTCACCTTCTGTGCTCACCACGGTGTACTCAACACTTCTGGGTTAACCCTGCCTATGCTATAACTCTTTGCTCACTCAGACACCTGTGCACATCACCTGTGCTAACCCAACCTGGGCACACACAATGTGCTCACCCATCCTGTGCTCAACGCCTTGCTCAGGCCCTCTGTGCGCAACCCCATTCTGCTCACCACCTCTGTGCTCACCCTCTGTGTTCGCCCCCATATGCGATGCTCCCTGTGCTCATCTCCTGTGCTCAAACCCTTTGTGCTCACCCCAACTGTGCTCACCAAACCTACTCTAACCTTCATGCGCTCATCTCTCCTGTTGCTCCCACCCCCTTTATGTTTTTACACCGCCTGTGCTCACATCCTCTTTGCTCACCCCTTCTGCTCACACACCGGGCCTCAAATCTCCTGGGCTCAAACCCACTCATCGTGATCACGCTCACGCTCCTTGTGCTCAACACCCACAGTTTTCAATCCTCTGCTTACAGCCCTGTGCTCATCCCCCAACCCGCATTCTGTACACACCAAGCCTGTGCTCACCCGCACCTTTGCCACACACTGTGCTCATCCCATGTCTTCAACCCCCACTGCTCAGTGCCCGTTTGCTCAGCCCATTTGCTCACACACAGTGATCTCGCACATTGTGTCCCCTCATTGTGCTCTCACCCTGTCCTCCACCGCTGTGCTCAACTCTCCTGTTGCTACGTCCGCATCAATATACTCATCCACCCCTAGTCATGTGCTCACCCTCTCTGCTTACCACATCTGCTAACCACAGCTGCTCACTCCCCCGTGCTTGCACGACTTCTGCACATCACCTCTGTGCTCAGCCCTCCTTATCTTAATCCCCACCTTGTGCTCACTCCACTCTGTGCTCTGCCAGGCATCCCCTTTGTAATGGACCAACGCTTGTACACGCTGTGTTCACCCACCAGTGCTTACCCTCCGCTGTGATCACACACCAGTGCTGGCACTAATGTGCTCACCTCCTATGTTCGCACCTCCTTTGTTCAACCCCTGTGCTCACGCCACTCTGCGCTCACACATCTTGTGCTCCCAACATCTGTGCTCACACCCCTGTTCACATCCTCCCTTACTTCTGCCTATATTTCCTCCTCCCACTGTGTTCACTCGTCTATATTCACCATCCTGTTTTCTCAGCTACGCTCCTGTGCTTAGCTCCCTGTGCTCACCAACCCCCTGTGCTTGGAACCATGTGCTCAATCCCCTTTGCTCAGCCCCCTTCACTCACCATCCACTGTGCTCACTAACCACTGTGCTCACTACCTTCCGTGCTTGGCAGCTTCCTTGCTCACTCGCCTTTATGTGCTCACCCGAGTCCCTTATGCTCAGCCACTGTACTCATTCACCTTTGCCACCACAACCTGTGTGCACCCGGTCCTTCTGCTCATCACCAATATGTTCGGCATCCTGTTCTTAAACTCCGTTTTGCTCAGGCCCCTCCTTTTGCTCACATCGAAGCCCCCATTTCAACCCCACTCCTGTGCTCAAACCCCTTGTCCTCACACCACCTATGTATCCTCCTTGGGTTTACCTCCACTTTTACCCATCCTGTCCCCTCTTTCTGTGCTCAACACGCTGTGCCATTTTACTGTGCTCACTCAACCTTTGCCCTCTTCCGCTTCTGAACCTCCGATGCCCTCTTCCTGTGCTCACGTCCCCTGTGCTCAAAACGTTGTGCCGAATCCCACTGTGCTCATTACCCTGTGCTAACACCGCTTATTCACAACCTCTGTACACTCCCTGTGTTGAGCTCCCCTTTCGCTCCCCCACTCCCTGTCCTCAGCATGTGCTGAACCCTCGCATGCTGAATCTCTCCTGCTCAGGCAGCTGTGTTAAACCCGTTGTGCACACCACCATTCTTTTTCTAACCTATTCGCACCTCTGTTACTTCACTGTGGTTCCCCACAATGCTTGAACTGTGCTTCCCTGTGCTGTCTCTGTGCTCCCCACTTGTGCTCATACCCAATGATCAAGCCGCCCTTTGCTTTCCAACCCTGTGCTGCCCCATTGTGCTCTCACCTCTGCTACCATGCTTGTGCATCTCCACACCACATGCTCAGGTTCCTGCGCTCCCCTCACTACGCTCATCTCCACTTTGCTCACCCATTTGTGATCACGCACATGTGCTCACCCTTGAGATCTTCTCACACAACATCTGTGCTCATATCCTGTGTTCAAACCGCTGTGATCATGTCCCTCAGATCAGAGACCCTCTCTTCGTCCCCACCCCCCCCCCGGGCTCTCCCGTTGTGCCAATACTGTGCTCGCACTTCCTCCTATGCGTATACCCTGTGCTCACATCGCAGTGCTCCCCAACTTCTTTTCAACCCTGTCTCGGCCCTCTGTGCTGCTGCCGTCTCACAACCCAACAACGGCTGGTCACTCCAACTTTGCTCGATCAAGCTGTGCTTCCCTCCCTGTGCTCGCTTCCCTTTGCTCATCACATTGTTTTAATGTCAGTTAACCTATGGTAACCACACCTGTGAACAACCCACTCTATTCACCCCATTTTGCTGTCCTCCCCTTTGCTCAAACCCCTCGATCTCGTGCTCAGCCTCTCTCTGCCAAACCCCCACTCCAGCACTCCAACCCGCGTGTTCACTCCACTGTGCTCACAGCCCGTGTGCTCTGCCTCACTCTGTCTCTCATCCCCACACTCCGTACTCAAAACTACTGCGGTCAACGCCCCCCGTGTTCAGCCACTTTTTTTTTTTTGCACCCGATCCCTTGCAACCTTCCGTGCCCCTCCAACCCACATCGTGGTCACCAACCAGTCCACTCCGAGAACGACGTGATGATCAAAGATACACTTATTTACCTGAGCAGATGACTCCAGCATCATTGGAGTGCGTCCGGTAATAATGATTCCAGGTCGCTGAGGGACAATCCCTCAGAGCAGACTCGCTCCCTTTGCACCGAATATTATATGTCACAACATAGCCTGATCCTTCCCCAAAGTGAGCTCCTACTGATGCTGACAGCGCGGCTCCACATCCCAACTCCTGACACACCACAGCCGCGGCCTTCATATTCCAGGTCAGAACATACCCATAGTCATAGCTATAGCCATCCACTGAGCCCCAATATCCTCCTTGGTAAATCTCCACTCTCCCGGCACATGGGCTGCCGCCATTCACCAGCCTCACACCCACATTCTCTGTAAAATATTGCACACTGTATTTAGTGTTTGATTCCTGCTTGACTTCCAGTCACCCAGCGTAATAGAATACAATGTACATATATTAGATTATTACAATTTATTTTAGACTTTATAGTTTATATTAGATTATTATATCTGATGCTATCATACTTCATATAAGAATATTATACTTTATAATATTATATTATACTTTATACATACATCCTTATTGTGGTTAAATTATGTAATTTTATTAAATAAAACTCAGCAACGGCAGTAGATCCCCGAAACTGCGCCCATGATATTAGGCATGCAAGATATTCCTGGTAAGTTACAAATAATATCTGTAGCTCAATTGGTTATTGCGTTTGTTGACAGATAAACAGATATAGACACAGATATTGTCGTTTTATTAGTGTACTAGTGGCTCAGGTTTGTGTCAGGCCACGTTACACAGTTTATACACAATAAAAGAAATTTAGACTTCCAGTCAGTCAGCTTCCGCAACCCAAAGTCAAATATACTCAGGGCAAAAAAACTCTCCACTCCACCACCAAGGTAATAGCTAACCACAGGCCACAGCCTTAAAACCCCAAAGCACAAACACACTGGCCACAGCTCGCTCCAGACAAAGACCCACCATCGGTCACAAACCTTCTACGATTGCACAGACGACACACCCAGGCTAAAATCCTCCCCCATCCAAGATGCTGCAGCCTCTTGATCCTTCCCACACCTACCCCCAGAGCACAGCTGACATCCCAGGAACAGCAACTGCAGCAGAGCCCAACACCAGCTGACACAGAACTTCAAGCACAACGAACTCAGGGAACAGGTGTCGCCTCCCAAGATCGCAGCCACCTCCCAAGTCCAGCAGCCAATAGGCACAGGTACGAACTCACAATTGGAAAGACCCTCCCATTTGCATATGCCCCTGCATAGCGCCCAGCGCCTCCTGCACAGCACAAAATCCAACCAAGGTCAAATCCCATCAAGACACGGCCCCTCAAACCTGGCCGCAACTCTTCCACATAAGGCTGAAACCCCTCACTGAAGGGTACAGTCCTTCCTTCAGGGCGGAGTTCCAACTCCCCGGTAACACACCTCCGCCCCACCCCACCCCCCAGCGCAGAGAGCAGCCACTCTGCCAGGAAAAGCCCGTCAACCCCAAGATTGTACACACGCTCCGCAGGGTACATTTCCACACCCGATGGCACAGCCAACCAGATGGCACAGCAACAAAACTAGACACAGCCGCCGCTCTCCCCACTCCGCTGAAAGACCCACCGAGGACACAAAACCTCGCCGAGGGGACAGAACAACTTCCAACCTTAAATATAGTAGACCCCAGGCCCACCTCTATATAGGCATAGATTATCACAGGCATAGCGCACCAATCGTCCCCCAACCAAACCACCTGGCTGCCTCAGCACAGTACAATCCCTCCTCCCCAGGAGGAACTCGCAAATCTCAGGGCATTGCTCCTCCACACATGCTTAGCCCACCAAAGCACACAGCCCTTAAGAGGGCCTAATAATGAAGGGGCAAGGCGGAGATATGGAGGTAGCCTCTTTCAAGGTTTAAGAACTAAAAGCCCGGTCACCATTCTTAGAACGGAGGGCACGAGTCCCAAACGGAAGGTCTGTCTACCAGCACTATTAATAATTAGCATTATTATTAATGTGCTTTGTGGATTGTACCCTGTTTCCGCCTACTGTTCCCAGAAGGTGCTGAAGAGAGGCCAACACTCACACTCAGAAGCAAATGTTCCAACAGCAGCTTTTGGCTGTGAGTTTGTGTCACTAACCTGCAGATTCCACCGTCCGTCTCTCCAGAAATAGCACTGCACAAGGAACAAGAAAACAAGATCAAAGCAGGAATTATTGATAACGAAAGTCATACAATCAAGAACCTGATCTGTTCAGTCTGTCACACCGTCAATGGTCGATCCTTAACTACAGCATAGTCATTTAACGTCATCAATATAAAAGGCTCCAGTGGGAAGAAGCAGCATGGAGAGAGAAAGAGAGCCGTGGACGGGAATCAAGTAGAGATCTCCAGTACTGGAACCAGCAGCAGCACAGACACGATGGCCAAAGCGGGAGCAGGGAATGGGATAAGCGTAGGGAGCTCCAGTGGTGGAACGAGCACCATCACATACAAAAGAGGGAGAGAGTGAGTAGGGAATGGGGTTAGCATAGAGAGCTCCAGTGTGGGGGCGAGCAGCAGCACAGCCATGGGCGAGAGAGAGAGTTCGGAATGGGATTCGTGTAGAGAGCTCCAACAACATTAATAACAACAACTTGGATTTTGATTTATAAAACGCCCTCCACGCCAGAGGAAGAGCGAGCACCAGCACAGACATGATAGTAAGAGCAGACAAAAAGACTGAATAAAGAATTATTTGATAGACTCACAAATACAACAATGGGCTGAATGGTATTTTCTGTGCAAAAAAAATCGTCTATGTTTCTCTTCCGAGTCTTGGAGAACATGGGGTGTGGTGACCACGCAGAAACAGAAATTTATCCCGAATCCCGTTGATAGGCAGAACACAATATTTCTCCATTTCGGTGAGGACTGTGTATACTGGCTACTATTTTTCCTGGTCTATCCTCACGCTCTCGCCATTTGCAATAACTTGCGTTTTGACAACTTGCATTTATGTAGCGCCCTTCACGCGGGGAAGTATCCAGGAGGACTTTATCTTTGCAAAGGCCTCCATCCCCGTTCAACCTCTCTCTTTCAATGACAACAATCCGAGTTCCCCCTCAAAATCCTCCAACACTCCCCTTCACCATCGTTTAACACCTCTCTCCCCTCTTGCCCCTGTTTTTCACCTCCGTCACTCCCTGAAGTAGTGTGGAGAGTACGGGGGGAATGGGGTGTGATCGAAAGCACGGCAAAGGAGAGGGTGTTAAGACGGATCTTGAAGGAAACAAGGAAGGGGCGAGCTAGTTTAACTGCAAATTGGAGTTCCAGAGAGTGGGGCAAATGGTGGGGAGTTTGAGGTGGTTGATGTGAATCAGGACGGAGCCCACAGAGCGGTAGGAGCGGGAAGTTTCGCAGGGCGTTAGGAAGTCGTAATTGAAGGTGGGAAACAAGGCCATGGAGGATTTTGAAGGTGAAGAATACGGTCTTGAACTTCATCCAATGGAGTCTGGCAAGAATGGGGGTTGATACTGTCACAGAGCCTCGTGGAGGTGATGGCACTGGCTGCAGTTTTCTGGGTAATCTGCCGCCTATAGAAGGAGGAGTTGTGCAGGCCGAAAAGCAGTGAGTTTGCAAAGGCAAGCCTGGATGTTATGAATGCGTGTAGGAGGTTTCGGTTGCCTGTTGTTTGAAACCATGATGCGGTGTTGTTTGGCACAGTGTGTGGGGTAGAAAGGAGAGTTGAGAGTCAACCAAGAAGCCTCTCACTCCTCTCTGCTTCCCATCTTTCTGGATGCGCCGTCCCTGTGATCGGTAAGGAACGATACTCACGGAAGATGAAAAACAATGGCTCCATGTCGAGGATGAGCACAGAGCCTGGGGTCCCGTGTTTGTCCGTCTTAAGGAGAGGGGTCTCCGCAGACGTAGTGATCAACCACACGCAGTAAATAGCTGAAGCAGCGTTTGCCAGGAATACTGTGATCCCCAAACCTCCAAATCCCTATGACACAGACACACACAGAGCTGTTGTGATAAAAAGCGCACTAAGAAGCAGCCTGACACACACACAGTGACGCACACACACTAAGAGACGAACTCGAGCTGCGATATAGAGATGGATGTTGAGCGAATTTCAAACCTGTGAATCAGAGACCCAGCCTCTGCCTCTCCTTTCTCTCTTACTTTCTGCAGAGACCAGGCGGTACCAGAATGTCTTGTGATGCTTTTAACGGGAATTGTTGCAACACATGCCTCAGACTCAAACTCAACCGGCCAGCGTGAAGCTGATTCACATAACAGCAATAAGCTATTTTAATATGGTGAGTAAGCCCTCATAGGGAGCCGTGAGCTGAGCACACATCGGAGTATGTTGTGGAAAGGAGAAGTGAGTCCTTGCTGGTTTCACATTGGACAATTCTCCATTGCTGTGTTATCAAATTTCGTATTTTTGTGTTCGTATACAAACATATAGTCATGACACATTATACTCAGTCGTTAAACACTTCGGAAAGATTGGTAGCAGGGATAAGACCTGGTGTTAAATATAACAAAATATAGACTGGAGCAACAGATTTACGCTTTCTGTTTATACTCTCTATCGGATCACATCCTTCCACTTTTCTGTTGCTCAGACTTTATATTTCCGTTGTTACTTCCTTCTTTGCTCCGCCGCAATATCGCGCGGCACTCAGTGCTGATGACAGCATAGCCCAGCCTGGCTCATCGGCAGGGCCGGAAGGTCGACCTGTCACTGGGGGCAGGGATTCCTCCAACTCAACTCCTGTTATTCCTGCAGCCCTAACAAACGGTAAGGTGGTCCTAGCTGAACAAGCAGCAGGAAAGGTTGCTAGACAGCCATCTGAACGACAGACTGTGTGGGTTTAACTGCTTAGACTCCAACAGTTACCCAAACGCGAACTACTACGTCAGCAATAAACACCTTGGCTCCAATGTTTGAACTAAACGCGTAAGTGAAGGCAATGCCTTCATAGGGAGTGTATTTGGATTTCCCGGAATCGTTTGGTAAATTGCTGAGCAGAAGGTGGTGAAGACACCTATGCTCCCAAAATTAGGATAATGAATAGGATTATACAGCACAGGAGGAGGCCATTCAGCCCATGGTGTCTGTGCCGTCTTTTTGAAAGAGCTTTTCTAATTAATCCGATTCACCCACTCTCTCTTCGTAGCCCCGCAAATGTGACTTCCCCAAATATTCAGCCCATCGTGTCCGTGCCAACTCTTTAAAAGAGCTGTCCAAATTAATCGTATTTCCCCACTCTCTACCCATAGACCAAAATCGAGGACTCCACCTTATCAATCAACGTCGATTCCGCCCCCACCCCAACGCCCTACACCACATCAACTCGCTCAGGACCTAATCCATGACTGCTCAGCGACTTGCGACGTCCTCATGACGTACAAGTCGCTATACAAGTTTAGTTTCGCATTTTTATGTATGCCACAAAACAACAATTGAGAGGCAGCAGAACAGATTGACGGAAAACGGTAATATAGGTGAAAAAAAACTATTATTGTTATTAAATTATTATTATATTGGTTTTATTATTGTGGTTGTATTATTGTTACATTTGTATAATAATATGTTTTCAGTATTAGTATTATATGCCCGTACCCTGCCCGTACCCGCCGTTTCTTTGGCTCCGGTCTGCTCCACATCCCCCGCCCCAACCGCCCTAACATCGGTGGTCGGGCCTTCAGCCTCGCAGCCCCGAGGCTTTGGAAATCCATCCCCCAGTGCGTTCGCCTTGGTTCCTCCCTTTCCTCCTTCAAGGCGTCTCAAGACCTTTCTCTTTGACCGTGCCTTGAGCTCCCCTCTCAACTCTCTACCCCCTCCTCGCACCTCCCTTCCCTCCCATCACCTCTCTACCCCCTCGACCTTTCCTCCCTCCCTCCGCGCTCCCTCCCTCCCTTCCCTCCCCTCACCCTGACCATTTCCCCCCTGCTCGTGTGCTGACATAACTCTCCAGCGCCTTGGGACGTCCTACCGACGTGAAAGCCGCTCTATAAATGGAATTTTGTTGTTATATCATTATTGCGTGTCAGAGAAAGAGAGACACTGTGTGTGTAAGACAGAGAGACTGTGCGTGTTTGTGTGTTTGTGCGAGAAACAGATAGAGACTGCGTGTGTGTGACACAGAGACTGTGTGTGCGTGTGTGTGTGAGAGAGAGTCTGTGTGACTGTGTTTCAGAGCTGCCCCTCAATCCATTCTCCTCTTAATCGAGCACGGACACTGCAGATTAATATCAGAAAGTCAGGACATGCCCCTCATTCACAGCTCAGTCAGTCAGAGACACAGAGACAGAGTGGCACACTCTGACTACAGCTCCCAGGATGCCCAGCGCGGCCCAGCTCCGTGACCACAGGCCCCTGGGCCGTGAAGAATGCCGGGATCTGTAGTTTCCGGGTCTGTGCCGCAGGCTGTGGCTGTGAATGTGATGTCAGAGAGAGAGGGGGAAGAGAGAGAATTAGTGCGAGAGACAGAGAGGGCTAGAGAGAGGATGAGTGTGAGAGAGAGAGAGGGACAGATAGAAGGTGAGTATGAGAGAGATAGAGAGAGAGAGGGACAGATAGAGGCTGAGTGTGAGAGACACAGGGAGGGAGCGAGCGGCCTGCTACTGATCTGCCGCCGCCATATTTTCTGTCTCTCAGTCCCTCCTACACCCCTTCTCTCTCATACACACCCTCTCGTTCTCTCTCTCCCTCTCTCTCTCTCTGTCTGTCTGTTTCTCTCACGTTCACCTTCTCTTTCTTTCTCTCACAACTTCCCGCTGTGTGTGACCCTCTCTCGCCTCTCCCTCCGTCACTTGGTGACGCCAGCACTCCCCTCTCCTCCCCTTCACTGACAGGGATGCGCCCACTTTCTCCCTGTTAACGGGTGATTGATAGGAAAGAGAGAGACATGCCCACAGTCACGGTGATTGAGAAGACAGAGAGAGAGAGACACGTCCAATGTCTCCCTGGTAACCAGTGACTGACTGGAGAGAGAGAACCGCACTCACACCTATCCTCTGTCGTTCTCTAATCAGTGATTGACAGCAGTGAAAGGGAGAGAGAGAGAGAGAGAGCGAGAGAGAGACGCCAACCATGATTCTCAATTTTATTGTTATTCTTCCTCCGGTTCGGAGTCAGGCGCTGCCAAAGTTAAGCTCTGAGGCGATGCGCTGTGTAGAGGGAAAGGGCTCTATAATTGCCAGTTGATGTGATTATTGTTTTTTGTATTATTGCTATTGTTGATATTAGTATATTATATCAGAAAATTTGTATTGTATCAGTATTAGTGGCATATTATTATTTTTAGTAGCTTCTAATTTACATGTACATTAACATCAACTTTCAGTTATAAAGCGCCCTCCACGTGGGACTGTCGCTATATTTTTTGGGTGAAACGCAGCAGCCAACTGAATACAGCTATGACCCACGAAAATGTTTTTGAAATATAATAGTGCTGCGTTTCATCAAAAAAATACAGTCACTACACTTTACAGTACAACAGTAACGTCAACAAACAACAAAATTATATTTATGAAGCGTGTTACACGTCGGAAGGACTTCCCAGTATATCTTGCGAAGCGGTTTGAATATCTGATAGGACACGATATCAAATGCAAGGATTATTATGATTGTTAAAAATCACACTGGAGATTCAAAGTGGGTTTCTGCACAGAGAACTGTGGAGAATAAGAACCTTCTTTGAAAACTCTCACGTTAGATTCAGCTGTTTTTCTTTCCTTCTGGTTAAGTAATTGGGCCGTTTTTGCATGGAGTTTTGTGTGGTTGGTACTGTATATCCGGTAAAGCTGCAAAGCCTACACAATAGCAGTGATTCAGCTACCTTTGCCATTTGACATCATGTCTAATATTAAAATTTCCATCATCTGGAGAAATTCCCATCTCTTTTGCCAGTAGTGTCGACCACTTTAAGAGACACAGAAATCAGTGAGCTTCCTGGGTAGTTCTGAGTCTCACTTTTGGAGAGACACCACAATTGCCCTCTGGACGTTGATAGAGAGGATAACGTGTCTCAGGTAGAGTCCTGGTTATATTTGATATATTCATTCTGCTGGAATTAATTATAGTTATTTTACCACCTGATTTCATATGAATTACAATAATTTGCACAAACGGTATCTGCCTGTCTTTTCTCTTGCCTGTTAATAGCTGAGCTGCAGCTCAAAAGGCAGATATGTTTGCTCCCCCTGTGGTTACCCGAGATATTGCAGGCTGGAAGTGGCTTCCTTGTCTAATTGTAATGTTCTCAAAAACCGACAAGACAGCAGGGATGGGGAACTCTCAATTTAACTCTCTATTTACCAAAGCAACACAAATCCCGGGACAGGTACAGCATAATAGTGGAAACATTTCGCTTTATTTACCACCTGAGCTCATAACTAATCAGACCCTTCCCAGTAAGGAGCGTCATAGTTCCAATATCACTCTTGAGAAAAAAATAAATAGATTACCAATTGAATGACTATCATTAGCTCAAAATTTTCCTGAAGGAAAAAAGACAAATCTCACATTTCTTTGATTGGATTATCAATCAGTTTAAAGGCTGCTATTTCTTACAGACACTCATCTGCTCTCCTATGTATCCACCAATATCTGACCTGTAGGATTTTTCCATTTGAAAACTGTACATCAACCTGAAAGTCACAGCTAAACTTCCTGTATGTTCGTCATCGAGCACAAGGATTCGAACAGAATGATCCGGAGAAACAGGCCATTCCAGCCAAATGGTCCATTCCTTCCCATCTCTTCCTCCATCTCTCTCCCTATTCCCTTCCTACAATGTTCTATTCCACACGCCTACAATTCTGTTGCCCTCTCCTGCATTCCTCTATTTCCTCTCCTAATTCCCTCTGTTCACCACATTTACCCCTCCCTGTATTCTCTTCTAAATACACCAAGTTCCCTATTAAATACACTGACATGTTCACATCACCAACAGATTGTGTCAACAAATTCCACAGTCTGCCCACACTCTTTGTGAAAGTATATCCTCTTAAATTCCATGATAGATCAAATAAAAAATAACGTTGTCTTTCTTACATTTGGTATAGCATCATCCACTTCAGGACTCCTTGAAGCTATGCTGCAAAGTGCAGCTCTCTTTATTAATGAACCGACTTTTAGATTTACAGTTTATAAATGTCCATTTTATCAAATTGTTTTCACACTGTGATCCACTTCCATGAGGCCTCCTCTCAATCTGGGGAGAAACGTTCCAATCTTTCTTGCTAATTGCATCCACTCATGCTGGTAAATGCTTTGTACACTACCCTTTAACGTTGCAACGCTGTGGAACATCAACCTTTATTGTGTGTTTCGTATTTTACAGCTTTCTACAATCTGTTCTGCTGCCTCTCAATTGTCGATTTCTGCCATACAATATAAAATTATATTTGTAAAGCGCCTTTCTCGTCAGGTGTGCTTCGGAGACCTTCCCACCTATAAGCTTCTGACGAATCTCTATTTCCCACAGTTCAACCACTTTCAATCCAAACCGCCAAAGTCAGATATTTGTGGAAGACATATTTGCTGGACTTGGGGGAGAGAGTGAGGGAGTAGGATTAAATAGGAAAATTCGTTCAAAGAGTCGGCAAGATATGATAGTCTGAATGCCTCTTCCTGTGACGTATAACTCTATGATTTCCCCCGATATCATTCTTCACTTTCTTCACCGCTATGGGTTCAGTAATTTATCAAACGCTTCCTTGAAATCCAAATACACAATGCCTGAATACTTTGGCTTTATTTATACTTTTAGTTGCAAATTCCGTACCCAGTTTTTGCTGACGTCAGAAATTGTGTTTGGGTAAATGTTCTGTCTCTTCTGCTACAACTACATAGCTTCTCATTGAGAGCGGCGTCTGGCAAGCTATATTGGTGCTCATCCAGCAAGTAACAGTCCATCAGTTAGTTAGCGCTTTGGCTTGCAGTGTTAAAAGGAGCTGAGTAGGAGGATATCTTGCCCTCAGTTTCTAGTCTGCCCTTCGAGTTGTTGCTGATGAGCCAGGCTGGGCTCCGTCATCCGCAGGCAGAATCCTGAAATACTGCGGGGAAGCAAAGAGGGAAGTTACTAAGAAAAGAAAAACAACAACAACAACAAGATTCCATTTATAAAGCGCCTTTCACGTCAGGAGGACGTCCCAAGGCGCTGCACAGTTGGGTCATGACCCGAGCAGGGGGGAAATGGTCAGGGTGAGGGGAGGGAAGGGAGGGAGCGAGGAGGGGGGAAATGGTCAGGGTGAGGGAAAGGAGGGAGCAAGGAGGGGGAAATGGTCAGGGTGAGGGGAGGGAAGGGAGGGAGCGAGGAGGGGGAAGAGAGTCGAGAGGGGAGCTGAAGGCACGGTCAAAGAGAAAGGTTTTGAGACCGGCCTTGAAGGAGGAAAGGGAGGAAGCAAGGCGAAGGCACTGGGGGATGGAGTTCCAGAGCCTGGGGGCTGAGAGGCTGAAGGCCCGACCACCGATGGTAGGGCGGTTGGGGCGGGGGACGTGGAGCAGACCAGAGCCAGAGGAACGGAGGGTACGGGCAGGTAGGTAGGGGGATAGTAGGTTGGAGAGGTAGGAGGGAGCAAGGCCGTGAATGGCCTTGTAGGTGAGGATGAGGATCTTGAAATCAATCCTCTGGGGGATGGGGAGCCAGTGGAGGCGA